CAGCAAAAAAGAGCCAAAAAGAGCCGAAAAAGCGAAAAAAAGAAGAAAAAAAGGGGCCAAAAAGGCGAAAAAAAAAGAAGAAAAAAGGAGCCAAAAAGGCGAAAAAAAAGAAGAAAAAAAAGGAGACAAAAAGGAAACAAAAAGGAGACAAAAAGAAGCCAAAAGGGAGCCAAAAAGGAGCCAAAAAGGAGACAAAAAAGCAGCAAAAAAGAGGCAAAAAGAGCCGAAAAAGCGAAAAAAAAGAAGAAAAAAAGGAGCCAAAAAGGCGAAAAAAAGAAGAAAAAAAAAGAGACAAAAAGGAAACAAAAAGGAGACAAAAAGGGGACAAAAAGGAGACAAAAAGGAGACAAAAAGGAGCCAAAAAGGAGCCAAAAAAGCAGCAAAAAAGAGCCAAAAAGAGCCGAAAAAAACACCTTCTTGGCAGAAAAAGCCCTGGAGACAGTCTCCTGTCTCCTTTTGCTGCCCCGCGGCCCCACAGAACTTTCCAGGGAGACACTTTTGGGGCTCTGCGGCCCCCGAGGGGCAAAAGGCCCCCGGGGGGCAAAGGCCAGCTTGCACGCAAAGTTTCACGAAAAAAGAGCTGCTGCTGCTGCTGCTGCTGCTGCTGCTGCTGCTGCTGCTGCTGCTGCTGCTGCTGCGGCTGCTGCTGCGGCTGCGGAGGCTGCGGGAGGCTGGCTGGCTAGCTGGCTAACCAGCACGGAGACAGCCCCCTTGTTCGGGTTGTACATGCCTGCGCACACGTAGCTAGCTGGCTAGCTAGCTAGCTAGCTAGCTGGCTAGCTAGCTGGCTAGCTAGCTGGCTGGCTGGCGAGCTGGCTGGGTAGCCAGCTAGTGGGCGAGCTAGCTGGATAGCTAGCTGGGTAGCTAGCTCGCTAGCTAGCTGGCTAGCTGGCTACGCATCCGTCCAGCTAGCCAGCTAGCCAGCTAGCTAGTCCCTCTAGCTAGCCAGCTAGCTAGCCAGTCTAGCCAGCAAGCTAGCCAGCTAGCCATCTGCTTGCTTACCTGGCGGCTTTGCGCGTGTGTCTTTAGGGTTTAGGTCTTAGGGTTTAGGGTTTTGGAACTAGGACCTACAGTTTAGGGTTTAGGGTTTAGCGTGTCTGCTCAAAAGGGGCAGCAGTGTTGAGGGGAGGTGTAGGGGTGAAACCCTAATTTAGCCAAATCCCAAATCCCAAATCCCAAACATGGCCCCCCTGTGTTCACGACCGCGCGGAGGCGTCACGGAACCCCTGTTTTCCGGGGACCCCCTGTGTTTTCACAGAGGAGTTTTCCCCGCGCAGTGTTGAGGGGAGGTGTAGGGGTGAAACCCTAATTTAGGGTTTAGGGTTTAGGGTTTAGGGTTTGTACCGGGGGGACACAAGTGCTGGCGCGCGTCCGCAGTGCCTTGGGGACAAAAGGCCCCTGGGGGACACAAAAGTGTCTCCTCAAAAGGG